CTCCTTTGAGTCATTTCATGGGTTCAGGCTTAGCTGAAACCACATGCTTCCATTTCTTTCCGTTTGAGTTGTGTGATCTTTATAAAAGGGGTTAAGAGAAGTCCGGCAGGCACATGCATGATGGGATACCCACTGAGGGCAGAAATGGGCAGAGGCGAACCACTCACCTGTATGGACACCAGCAATTTCTGCCAATATTAATAACTTTTCTTCTAATCGATCAGTTTAATGGTCTCCCTCTGCATTTTAAATCTCTGAACATTTATTCATCACTATGGTACTTATTTTACACAACATTTTACATGTAAAATAAAATTGCTCCTGTTAATACTCACTTAGCCTTGAACTTCAGGTACTAAACCAAAGATATCTTCTGCCACATGTCACAATTCTAAGGCTATCTGGTCCAGAAAATCCTGACAAAGTCTTAATTTACTATCAAGGTCTGATGCCCCAACATTTCTATTTCATTCTAAGCATACTCAGTTCATTTTCTTCATTATCACATGTTCCCAATCTTAGGAGTATGTGAGACCATGTAAAGGCATTTCTGATTTGATTTTGATAATTATATCACAGTTTGTTTTGTTTTATCTAGAATAATTACTTTTTTAAAATTGTTTTATTGCTTAAAGTATTACAAAGAGTATTATATATGTCTCCTTTTTTTTTTCTACCCTTAACCTTCCCCTGGCCTCCCTTACCCCCCAGTGTCTTGTGTCCATTGGTTATGCTTATATGCATGCACACAAGTCCTTCGGTTGATCTCTTTACTTTTTAAAAGCAGTTTAGGGTATTACATAAATAACATAAATACTTTGTAAGAATAAAAGTTATTTTTTAATATTTTAATGTTAGTATAACTAACAGAATATTTGACTAATGGAAAAGTTAGTCAAACTGTTTATTTAAAAAGACATTAATCTCCTAATGTTAGTGGGTTATTTTTGTTTTCTTTTTAAGAAAAGATCATTTTCTTAAAAAAACAGTAAATACATGAAATAGGATCAAAACTTTTAGTGCTTTTTAAAACAAGTATCTTGTCCTTTCTATTATAAACAGTCACTCTGTTTTGCCATCTTTCAATTTACCCCTCTGTTTATTCAGCATTGCCTAAATATTTCCATGCCTTCCCTCAATTGATTTCCACAACGCCCTCCCAGGAAAAAGAAGTCAGGTTTCAGCAACAAGATGCCCCAGAGCAGTTCTCTCCTTAATAATGCAGCCAGAATGACAGTGGGATGATGGATTAAGAAGAGTGCCACACTGGGACCCTTAAAATCTGGCTCCAGCCACTAGTAAGCCTAATAAACCTAGCCTCAGTTTCTTCATTTGTAAAGTAAAAGGTTTTGTATTAAATTCAACACACCCAAATCTATAAAATACTAAGTATAAAAAAAAAGAACTGCCTTAAAGACAAATCATTAACAAAGTTAGATCAATGTTGATGCAATATAATAAAACTGAAAATTGGTTAAAGGAACAATTCCTTGACTTAACAATTCCTTAATCAGATATTCTTAATCAGCCACTTTTAGTATTTCAGCACTTATTTGAACCTGTTTACATGGTAATGATTAGAATACTTTGAAAATAAATTTGGCAAAGTCATACAATGTTTACTTTTTTATGTTAAAATATAACTTGTTTTTAAAACCAAGTTAGAGTCTTCCAAGAGCTAAAGTAGCGCTAGTTGTTTGTCCTTTGAAAATAAATTGTGTTTGATTCCCCTACAATTTGTTTTCTATAATAAGATTGGTCTGAAAGAATCAGCCTAATTTGCACCAATAAAACTCTCTAACTTTTCTTACATTTAGCAGCTCTATATTAACACATATTTATTAAAATTATATTCTATATCATTGATATAACATATTGAACCATGTCCAGCATGATCAGTGGTGAACCTGAGGGGGGCGGTGAGGGGGGCGGTGAAGGATTAAAGAAGACAGATAAGACAAGACAGTTGGGGCCAGGTGGGACACTGTTCTTAGATGGAGAGACAGTGCCACAGCCTCCAAGGTGAGTTTTTATTTTATAGTCAGATCCCAGGAGGCAAAGCAAGGGAGTGGTCAAGATGTTTACAATGTTCTCTCGAGTTTCAAATCTACTTAATTACATGCACCTGAGAACTCTATCAACCTACATCACTCAGCCACCTGGGACCACAGGTTCGGACCATAAGGTCAATCTTACCACCATAGCCTTTGGCTATAATTGTGCTGTGAGGGCTTTGCCCTCAAAGCCATGTACAGGACCATGCCCCTCTCATCAGTCTGAGGCTTGAACCTCTCCAAACGCTGTAGCCGCTCGCCACACATATATTCTATTTGCATTTTGATTTTCCTATTTAAAGATGCTAGCCTCACTAGGAAGGGAGATACTAGATAAAAGAAGGTGAAGGGATTAGCCAAAGAATATATATATGCATGACACACAGACACAGACAACAGTGTGGTGATGGCCAGAGGGAAGGGGGGGCAGGGGCTGGATTGAGGTGGGCAAAGAGGGAGAGTGTATGAGGACATCTGTAATAGTGTCAACAATAAAGTTAAAAATAAATGAAATATAAAAGAATCATGATTTTTGTTAACTGCAATACTGAGTAGGTTGTTCTCATCACACTATGAGATGGAATAAGTTCTTTATGAACTCTCTTCTAAACTAGGCAAACTCTAAGCCATCCTCCAGAAATCTTTACTTGATCTAGATTCCCCAAAACTTCCAAATGAAACTGAGAAAACAGCTTTGGTTCATAAAGGAGGCTCTTAATTCTTATAATTTACATATACAGAGACCATTGGTACAGAGTGGGCTGTCAGAGGCTTAAAAACTGGAAGTAATTTAAAGAAAAAAATATGACAATTGAATTTGAAACTTGCTATGGAATAACAGATTATTATTATTGTTAGCATTGGAAAAGGAATTCTGATCATCCTCAAATAATTGAAAGGGGTATCTCTGATCAGTTTTCTCAGAAATACTCCTTTACATTTTTTCTCTCCTCCATTGAACCCATGCCCTGTTTTGCAGTAATTTAAGACTTCTTTTCCCTTCTCAAATTCACATTTGTACAGGAGGAAACTAACACTTATCAGTCAAGATTCACTTTTGTTGTACAAGTAAGGCATAACAAAACAATCTTTTTCCCCAAAAATAATAAACTGTACTTCATTGTTGTTTAACAAGTTGGAAAATAAAAAATGTTTTAAATATGGGAATTATTAATAATAGATTTCATTAAATAAAGACAAATTGTAATGCATGCATAGTTATCTAGCCCCCCTCCAAAAAAATAGGAACAATTTATTAATGAGCTGAACTAATGCAAAATATATACATTGCCCTTGTCTCTAGAACTCAGGATATAAATTTTTTTTCATAGTCAACTAAGGTGTGATTAACATTTAAGTACAAAGGTTATTTAACATTTAAACACAAAGGTTTCTCCATGAGTTATTTTGGATTTATATACTCCCTCTTACCAGCATTTGTTTTGAAGCTGTGTTTTATGAAAGGTGAGATGTTTAAGCACGTTATTCAAATGAGGACTATTTTTCTGAACACAAGTCCAGACAGCAACACAATGCCAGAGCAGATTGCTAACTCCATAGCTTTTCTGATTGTCTTGCAAATGTTCCTGAAATTAAAATACAAAAATATACGGGGAAAGAATTATTTGACTTGAATAAACATAAAATAAATTTTAAATATGTGAGTGAGAAGGCATATTTTATTACACCTCATACTTCACCATTGGAGCAATTTTTCAAGTTAACCTGAACATAATGTCTTAATATTGTTCATATGGGACCGTGGTATTCAAAGACATCAAGTCTACAGTATAAGAAAATTAGTTAAGGAAAAAACTATTAGACACAATCATGCTTCTTAGACTCTATATGACTTATCTGTCCATGACACCCAAGGAGGAGGGGACCAGGGAAAGTCTGAACAACAATCAACCAACAAACTAGGTTTTAAAATGTGGATTTCTACTTTATGGACCAAAATACATGCCTAGCTGGACACAGTCAATGTCTGCAAAGTGTTTTAAAAGCCTACAAATTCAGAATACAAATAGGCTGGTTTTAGTTTGTTTTTTCCTTAGAGTGCTAACAGTTTTATAGATTGAATTGGTCTACTAAAGTAATTTGTATAAGAAAACCTGACTTTATTGTTAGATAACAATAACATAGCATTCTCATTGAATTTCTGTCAACAGTAAAGATTCAAATACACAACCTATGATATGTACTCAAATTGCTAACTTAGCTGATATTTTACTCTTTTATGCTCACAAGAAATCCTTAAAGAGACTCTACTTGTTTCCAAAGGAATTTAGAATTCTCACTTGTCATTTAAAAGTCAGGACTACAGTATAATTTAAAGAAAATTTTCTTAAGATAGAAGGCCAGAAGTTCATACATAAATGCTAAGCTAAGACATGTCAAGTTCTAGTTGGCTGTTTAAGTCCTGTAGATGTGTACTGATCAGCTTCATGTCAGGAACTCAGACAGTGAAGAAAAAGGCACGAGTGAGATAAAATCTTTGCACTTTGCTACTTACACTTGGGAACAATCATTCAGAGAAGCAAATGGAAACAAGTTATTGTTTACAATGTAAAAACATTGCACAGAAACGCTTTATTTTAAAACAATGTAAGACATCAGACTGAGACATACTGACTAGTGAATGCATTATTTTTTATCCAACTAACTCAATTTCTTGCTTTGCAGTTTGCCTGCCCAAAAAATGGAACACATAAAAATGAAGTTCTTTTCCCAAATTGTTGTAGATGTCTCAGCCATGGTGCCTGATGGCCTCATATAGCAAACTTATTCAAGATCAATATGTAAGTAGATATATTTTGAAACTTGTAGTGGGCTTGACTAATTAATTTAAAACACTTTTTCCCCCATAATGTACACTGCATGGCTACGCAAACTATTCAGTTAGGTCAAAAGATCTTGTTAACAAACCTATGCACCATCACCAGAGAAAAATTCCCCAAAGCCTTTGGGAAAGCAAAGATTAGGATTTTGGACAATGAACAAGATTTAAGTTTTATTTCCAGTTTTATATGATACCATTTTTACTCATCATTGAAAAAGAATGAAAGCAGCCTCTGATGTCTGTAACTGATTTGACATCAATATAATTACAAGCTGCTCTGACACTCACAACCAGGTCATTTTGTTTCCTGTTGGATATAAACTTACAGAATATCAGCCTCAGACAGCAGTCCTGAGAACATGATACATGAACAAACAAAGCCACATGGTGAAGTTTTGCTAAGCACAGGCAAAAGTCACTGTGACACCCGCAAAACGGAATTGTCCCTGCTTTCTTTATAGCTCCCCCAGTCACCCAAAGTCCAAATCCCGTAATAGACTCATTCTAACACCCTCTTACTGAAATAGCCTGTGGGTCCTCGGGCATGCGTTCTCTCTCTGCAACAAGTAATAAGCCCACTTTGCTTAAAATGCATGTGCAGTCCTGCTGGGCTTTGGGTGAAGGGCATCGGCATAAGCGAGAGCAAATGATGAATTTGCTACACCTGTAAACTTTCCAGGTAAGTGAGGCTGATTTATCCTTGTGCATTTTATACATTTTAAGCATTTGCATGGAAATCTTGCTCAAGTTTCTTCCCTGTGTGTTTTCTTAAAAACACACACACACACACACACACACACACATATATATTTGCCAAACTTGAATAAATGGGTATGAATATGATGACTATGTGATTTACTACACTCATCATGTACATCATCAACGTAACAGACCAAAGCTATTAGGTGGCGTAGAGTTCTTTGCCTTTACACTATATATCCAAATCAGTCTTACTCAGGTGTGGTTAGCAGATAAGTGCCATCTGCAAACTGTTATACAGAAATAAAGAATACACACTGAGAAACTTTTATAACAAGTTGACAGAGTGAACTTTATATATTTTGCCTAACAGAAAAAAATTATGCTTGCATTTTTATGTTTTTATTTTTGGTAATTCGTTATTATTGTAGTTTACAAAACTACCAGTCTACGACAGTTTGGAAACTAACAAAAAATGTTAAGAGGGATCTTTTACCCTAGTTTGAAAAGCACTGAGCACTGCATTAAATGACTTCCAGAGAACTTTTTGCCCCTTCCCTCTCCCTCCTCCTTCCCTCCCTCCCTTCCTTTCTCCTTTTATTTATTTAGTTTTTTTAACTTTATGACCACTTTCTATAGTTCTTTCATCTCCCCTCTCAATGTCCTGTCCAGTTTTGGGATATGTTGCTTAGCAAACTGGCCCCTGTGCAGAGAGGGTGGGAGAGACCTAAGAATGAGGCCGGCCACTTCAGATTGGAGGTGGCAGGTTTAATAAGCAAGGCAACTTACCAAGCTTGTCTTGAAGGGCCACCAGAAGAGTAGATCATATCCACCACCAGAATCTTAAAGTTCACATAGAGGTCTTAACTGGGTTCAGTCATGTATACCACCCAGATGGTCTGAACAACACACTGCTTTGTCAAGGTCACATCCTTAAAAAGGGCTCCCATTGTGGGAACAGTAAGGAGAATATACATGCTAAGGACAGAGGAGGGTTGAGGAGCTCTGATTGCCCAGGGTCGACTGGAGGTCAATTCCTCTAGATTACCTCCTCCAACACTGGCTATCAGTGTCAGTTTGTACACTGCCTACTTTAGGATGCCCACCTAAAAAAGTATTGTGAATTTTTGGTTGGCTAAGAATTCAAAGGGCCATATCAGCTTGAATTCTATGCAAATTTGAGTGCACAAGCTCTGAGGGTCTGACCAAGTTCTCTTTTATAACAGAAACTAGAGGCCCAATGCATGAATTCATGCACAGGTGGGGTTCCTTGGCCTGGCCGGCAATTTGGGCCCACTGGGGCCAGCTGGCCAGGAGGAGGGACCATGAGAGGTTGGCCGGCCACAGGCCCGAGTTTGGCTGTGGGAGTGCACTGACCACCAGGGGGCAGCTCCTGTGTTGAGCTGGGCTTGAAAGCCTGGGCTCTATTCTGGCTGCTCAGAAACAGCTTTTTTAGTTCCATTCTTGTTTTCAGCCATTTTTGGGATGGTTGACATTGCCCTGAAAGGACCTCTCAATACAAATGTGTTGCTTGGATAGCAGGACATGAATCATAGGATAATGCTCCTAATTTTAAAGAACCTGTGTCTCAGGCTAACCCAATTCCTAGTAACCATTTCCAATTACAGTACAGTACAAAATGTCCCAAATTTAGAGAATGCCTTTGGCATACCAGGCACTTAAAGCAGTCAGGATAAGATTGCTAATCACATTTTAATGCAAACTCTGCCTGTTTCCTTGCTTTCAGAAAACTATTTGTACTTTAGGACAGCTGCAACTATCCTGTAAAGAGTCTATAGCATTTTAATTGAGATTGAATCCACCTTCTTCCAAGAGCTATGTTATTATCATGTGACAACTAGCAAATCCAGCTTTGTTAGTGAGCAAAGGACAGAGTGAGAACTCAATCCAGTGGTCTGGTTCTGCAATCCACAGAAATAATTAAAGTGTACTATTTGTCAAAGTCGGTGGAAACCCTGTGTCTGTATCAGCTTAAAAGGATATTGAAAGGAGAAATGGGTTCCAGCAGCAGGGAAAAGAAATGTCTTATTCTTAAATAGAACCAACACCCATTTTGTGAGTATTCTAATGTGTATATCCCACAGAATTCTTTTTTCCCCATCAATTTTATAGCAACACTTTGGAAACAAATTAAATAATTACGTTTATACTCCAATGTTTGTAAATATATTAAAAATATTTTACAGTGGCCAAAATATGCTCTTCTGGACCTTTTTAGCATTATTAAAGCATAAAGGCTATAGAAATAAATCCACAAATCCTCTACTAACGCATAATAGCAATAAAGATGGGAGAGAAAATGAATACAAGTATATCTTTTATATTCCCCTATTTAATGAATAAATACTCAATAGAACTGCGTTAGGTTAATAATGGAGAAATGACCTGAAACTGGGGCACAACATTAAACGATGCAATCAAGCACTGAGTCAGTTAGCTCAACCAGCAGTGTTAGCAGCACTGTGGCTACACTGCCTTTTATATTCTTTATATTATAAGGTAATGGGAGGAGAAAAGGGAGAGCAAGAAATCTGATAGGCTAAAATCTGTTTTAATCTCTTCACAGAATTACACCTATAGAGCTGACATAGAGCTTAGAAAAGGTTGGAACTGTGCCCTTAGTTCCAAAAAAAATGGAAAAAGGAACAGAAATTTAGGGACTGGTCCCATTCTAAAGAGATACATTCTTTTCTTGTGTTGACATTTTGCCCCTTCCAGTTCAATTCAAGCTGTACAGCAGTCAGCTTCCATTTTCTGGTGCACCAAGAGTGACAAAAACTGGCTGATTATCAGAAAAGCAGAATCTACATTGAAGGTTGCCTACCTCATGACCAGAACCCTCATGTCCTAAAGATCTCACAGTATCCTATGTGTTTAAAAGAAAAACACTCAGATCACTACATTAAGTTAAGGACAATTAACTACATAGTTAAGCGCATTTAGTCAGTATAATCATGTCCTTAGATGAAAATTATTATATTTCAATAATCATTATTTACACTTGCATGACAATAATTTACAAGACATGCTTTTTGCATTTTCACAACAACCCTATAGATTAGTTAGGGCAAATATGATGAGGAAGATGATGATGATGACAATGACAGTGATGGTGATGTCTTCTTGTTTTGAAAAGTCAGTAATAAAAATTAATTTTACTTCATAAGTAACATGTCTCAAAAGTGATGGTTATAATAAGCAACTCAGAGAAGGCTAAGAATGTTGCATACATCATTTTTAAGTAGAGTTGGTATATAGTATTATATTAGTCATATTAATTTCAGGTATACAATACAGGAATTGGATGTTTTTATAGTACTTGACAATGTGAGGTGACACCTTTTTTAAAGATATGTAAATGAGATTTGGAGAGCTGAATGGGCCTCCTCTGGATCACACAGCCAGTTGGTGAGCAGGTCTTTCCTCTTCATAATCAATGCTCTTTCTGTTGCTCAATATCATAGGTTATGTATTTACTGTTAAAACATTTTTAAACTTAAAATCCTTTTTATGCATGCAGCAATTTGTGTTCATTAGCAATTACTAGTAAAACAAAAAAGTTCAGACTGCTCAGTATGTCGCTCTTTATATAAATGGTTCACCAAGTAATGAGCAAGAGAGAAAACACTAAAGCCTAGAAAGATTTAAAATAGGTGTGCTTAAATGTTTTTCCTTATACACTTAAATTTTAGGTAGTTTTAGAAAGGGCTCAATGGAAAGATGGGAAAACTGTGAGGTAACTTCTAGATAAAACTATTTAAAAAGCTAATCTTCCTTAAATTTCCTTAGTTGTTTCAACTTGCATTATGTTAAATGTATTTTTTTCCATTTAAAGAAAAACAATTCAAATAGAAAAATTATCTATATAAAAGCCTAAGTGACCGTTTGACCATCCAACCGATAGTTATGACGCGCACTGACGACCAGGGGGCAGACGCTCAATTCAGGAGCTGCCGAGCTGCGATGACTTGGCAGCTGTGGTTCTTGGGTGACACACCCGGCACCAGAGAGGAAGGAGCCCGATTCTGGGGTGCGTCACCTGACAACTGCCCTCTCACAACCTGGGACCCCTCAGGGGATGTTGGAGAGCCAGTTTTGGCCCAATTCCCACAGACAAGGCCAAGGACCTCTAGTTTTTTATATTTATACTAAAGGCCCAGTGCATGAATTTGTGCACAGGTGGGGTCTGGCCAGCCCACCCTGATGGGGGCCCATTGGGCCAGGCCAGCAGGGGGGAGGGGCCGCAGGTGGTTGGCTGGCCCTGCCCCTGATCGGGGTGATGAACTCCTTTAGCTTTTTCTTGTCTGTGAAGCTCTTTATCTGGCTTTCAATTCTAAATGAGCTTTGCTAGGTAGAGAAGGGCATGGCAAGAAATATTCAAAGTGACAAAGAGCAAGGACCTGCAGCCGGGGTGACCTTCCTTTTGAAAGGATGTGGCTGCTCCGGGAGTCGAGGGTTCAGTCTCCTGAAACCCGGGTCAGTCTTTGCATCAGGTGAGTGGAATCGCTGAGGCCTATTTGAGAGTCACTAAGGCTGGGAAGTGATCTCAGAACAGTTAAAAACACATTTGTGAAGGGATGTTATGGGTTCTCTCTCATCAAAAAGCCCACGTGTCTGTGCTACACCAACAGGGTTGCTTTAACACTGAAGCCTCCATCCACAAGCCCACCCACCTCCAGGAGCTGGCAAAAAGTTGAAAGTGGCCATGTCGATGAGGCCGGTGCCAGGCAACCTGGCAGGTGTCAGCAGCTCAGCAGTCTGAGCCTCAGGTGTGGGGAGATGGGCTCTGACATCACCATGTGGAGGATTTGATGCCATCGGCAGTGGCTTCAGAGCTTGTTGCTATTTTGTTTTATTTTTATCTCCTTTCCCTTTAAACCTCTCCAGGTTGCGTGCATTCGAGAGAATAGCAGTCTTTGCAGCCTCCTCAGCAGAGAGCATGCCTTCAATCTGGGTTCATGTGCAGCCGGACAGAGTTCTGTTTAGAAACACATTTGGGTTTGCATTCTTTGCGCTATTACCGATAAAGAGGGTTTTAGATTCTGGCACATAAATATGTCCCCATCCAGGAGGGCAGGATGCTGAGCGCAGCCACAGGCACAGCCACAGTTCTTCACTCACTCACAGGCCTTTGTCCAAGGGCAGTGATACAGGCCCTTTGCACACGGAGGAGGCCGGGGAGCAGGGTCGGGAAGCAAACGCAGAACACGGCCATCCGTGGCCCTGCTTTCCCAGACCTTCTGTCTCAGTCCCAGTCTTCCCGCTCTGGGTCTGTAGTGTCTTCCTCTTAAGGCAGATTCAGGCGGCTGTGGGACATGATGTTTATCCCACGCTGTTTCTCCATGTTGGTGGTCAGCACGGGGTTCCTGAATCAGGCTTCCTTCACCATTGTGGTGGTGGGGGAAGACAGCATGAAAGTGCGAACACAACCCGTGCGGACTCCTCACTGAGCACCTTCTGTATACCTTCTGTATACTTGATGGGCATCTCTCCTCAGAAGGGGTGCTGACAACTCAGTTGTGTGCTTCCTGTAGGTGGGGCCAGTCAGGGGGAAGGGCAGCAATGGGGGGGTGGGGCGATCTGGCCCAGTTCAGGCTGGTTGGCTGCCGCAGTGCACATCATAGCCACCAGTCATTCCGGTCGTTACGCCATAACGGTTGCTGGGCTTTTATATATATAGAAACTATAAAATGATAAGTATATACAACAAAAAAAGATAAAAGAATCAAGGTTTTAAAGTGTTTACTTCTTTTTTTTGGAATAAATGCAAGAAAAGGAAATAAAGACATCATCAACCCCAGAGATTGAAATGTGTCATTTGACATACATCATCCCATAAAGTATATAAACAATTACATGGCTCACTGCAGTTCTTTTTGCATAATACATTTTCATAAGAGTTTATTACATACCTAGGAATTATATAAGTGGGACAGCTAATTTTCTCTAATGTTAATGACTAATATCTGAGTTAGAAATGGAAAGGAGATTTTTCATATACTAGTGATTATTTCACTTTTTCAATTTTGAACCACTTAATTTTTTTCAGTTGATTTTAATAGCACATTAAATGTTATTACATATGAATTATGGGAGCATAAAAATATTACACTTGTTCTCATTAATAGACTGCACTTTACACACTTTCCTTTTAATAAAAATGTAATATCTTAAAATGTTCATTTATGTGTCAAACTAAATTATGTTGCAATTTTCATTTAAACAGCTGAGATGGACTCTATAAAAAAAGGCTTATGACGTTACTCTATTTAAAGTAGTAGTGGTGAATTTTGATGCCCCACTACTAATCCCATTAACTTCTCCTCCTGGTGACATGAATTTAGTGTCTGTTGTTCCCTCCTCCCCACAGCTAAACTCAATTTAGAAATGCTTACTAAATTGGCAAGCACAAATATTTAATCATAGTAATCTAAATTTGATTCATCGTGCACTAGTATAGACTCACCATATGAGAATCTGTGCCCTCATGTTGATTCTTGTTTTCCACACTGCTAAAAATTGAGTCAGATGGTAATTCTCTTTTACATATAATTTCCATGGTTTTCAGAATAACTTTCACATTTGAAAAAATGTTTGGATACATATAATATATCTCTCCAGAGAAAGAAAGTGCTATTTTAAGAAAAAAAAATTGTGAGAAATATTTCATTAATATCTTGCATAGTGTTTCATTTGTCTTTTAGTTATTAAAGTATAATTAAATTCAGTCCTTCAGTGCTGAAACTGCTGTACAATTTCCCATGCAGATTTATAATGTTATGTATGCCCCCTTGTGGTGTAATAGAAAACTACAAGGTAAATAATTTGTATATGAAAGTTTATATGGCGGAATGCCCAATTAAGAAAGTTACTGCCCAGCTGGTGTAGCATTGACTTTTGAACCCGGAGTTCACAGTTTGATTCCCAGTCAGGACACATGCCTGGGTTGCAGGCTTGATCCCCAGTAGGAGGCATGCAGGAGGCATTTGATCAATGATTCTCATCATTGGTGTTTCTATCTCTCTCCCTCTCCCTCTCCCTTCCTCTCTGAAATCAATAAAAAATATATTTTAAAAAAGAATACTTACTGCACAACAATGCTTGGAAACTTTCAGCTGATAATAAATGAAGTTAAAATAGATACTATATTTATAATGAATACTTTAAAATTATAATCCTAGAAACAAACTAATGTCATTGCTTTTAACCCAACATTCTCCATTTTTATTGCTTTTCAAGATGTTATTAATTTTTTAAAGTATATATTTTAAGTATAACAACAATTATGTCATTTAACATAAAACTGTATGATATTTAACAGAACCATCTTCATGCTGTTTCTCTTAGAAACTTTTAGACTATCTCTGAGTTTCAGCTCATTGACAAAGTGGAAAAATTCATAATAACCAATCTTCTACTGGATTGTTATATGGAGAGGTGGCATCTGCTAATAGCCTTGGGTAGGAATCAGCCTGTTGTTGAAAACAGAGATAGAGCCTAAGTAAGGCTGTACTTAACAGTATTTGATAAGAGGGCAAAATTTGAAGATTTTATCTTTATATGAAACAAAGATTTTGGCTTTCTTGGGATATAGCCACAATAATAGGCTAAAGTGAGAACTTTGGGTTTTATTCAAAATTTACTTGTCATCATCATCTGAATATTTGAGGAATCACTATGTTGAACACTACAGGAATTAAAGAAAGGATCCTACATTATAAAAGTCTAATATGCTAAGTGTTCGGTTGTCTGTTCAACCAATCAAAGCATAATAAGCTAATGATATGCTAAGGCCGCTCAACCACTTGCTATGACGTGCACTGACCATCAGGAGGCAGAGAGTCGACCAGTCGCTATAACATGCACTGACCACCAGGGGGCAGATACTCCGACCAGTAGGTTAGCTTGCTGCTGGAGTCCGGACAGTCGAGACTGAGTTAGACGGGCCAGACATGCCCTGGAGCTCTCCTACGGTCCCTCCCCGGCTGGCCAACCTTCCACGTCCCTCCCCAGCCCTGATGGTACATTGGTGGGGTCCCTTGGCCTGGCCTGCATCTTCTTGCAATCCAGGACTCCTCAGGGGATGTTAGAGAGCCAGTTTCAGCCCGATCCCACTGGCCAGGCCAAGGGACCCCACTGGTGGATGAATTTGTGCACCAGGCCTCTACTTTGTAATAATGAAATCAAAACAAGAAATATGATAAGCATGCATTCCTATTCTGCCAGTCTACAGCCTTGTTTTGGTTTCAGACCTATCAGAACTTGCAGTAGTGTTTATCAGTCAGTCTCCAAAAACACTTCCACTATTACCTTCTCTTCCCTCCTCCATAACTTTTCATCAAATACTATTCTGTTTTTTGTATCTTGAGTCTCTTCATGTCTTATCCTACAACTAGAGGCCTGGTGCACAAAAATTTGTGCACTCAGGGAGTCGGGGGTCCCTCAGCCTGGCCTGTGCCCTCTTGCAGTCTGGGACCCCTCGGGGGATGACCACTTGCTGGCTTAGGCCTGCCCCCCAGGGGATTGGGCCTAAGATGGCAATCAGATATCCCTCTGGCAGCCCAGCAGCCCTTAGGGGATGTCCACTTGGCAGCGGGGAGCAGGCCTAAACTGCAGTCGGACATCCTTAGCACTGCTGAGGAGGCAGGAGAGGCTCCCACCACCACCGCTGTACTGGTAGCCGTCAGCCTGGCTTGTGGCTGAGCAGAGCTCCCCCCGTGGGAGTGCACTGACCACCAGGGGGGAAGTTCCTGCATTGAGCGTCTGTCCCCTGGTGGTCAGTGTGTGTCATAGTGACCAGTCATTCTCAGTCTTTCTGCTGTTAGGGTCAGTTTGCATATTACCCTTTTACTATATAGGATAGAGGCTGGGTGCATGGGTGGAGAGTGGCTGG